TATTTTTAGAGTCATTTTAAAAATGTATTCCACCTATTTTGCTTATACCTGTGGTAGGCTTCATGATGGGTGTGAGCGGTATTCAACTTTTGTTGAGCCTAGTTATATGCACCCCTCATTAAGCACCGCTGTGTATGTAGGCCTATGTACTTTTTTTTTATCAAAAGAATGAATGGAAAGGGTACGACCCTATGAACATTACTTGTAACAAACTTGATAGATTTTATCAATATTTATTTAAGCTCAAGCTTCTTTTATTCCAATTGTTATGAATGGAATTGTTTGCATTCTTATTGTATATTGTACTACTTTATTGTATGGAAAATAAAAGTAAATTTGATTTTGATTTGAATACTGTACTAAGTGCAGCGCTAATTCTATTTTTAAATAAAGGTGTACGCAACGATGAGGAACATATCAAAAAAAGCAGACCTGGAAATCAAGTCGGGTGACGCTTTAAACAAAACGTTATTCATCCGCGAACTTGATATATGCAAATCATCGACATTTGAACCGGTCTTAGATGAGATTATCAAAAATGAAGGCACGCTCGACATAGTCAGTGAGTTATCTAAATAAATTATTATCATATCATTATTATTACCATTGCATTTGCCATACTGAAAGGCCTACAGTGCAATTATCAAAATTATCATCATGAATGTCATCAACATAATTATAATTATTATCATCTTCATCATCATTATCATCATCTTATCATCGTCGTCATTGTTTTTATTTTTCTTTTAAATCATTCTTATAAACCACTGTTTTGATTTCTATCTATTTCCAAGTTTTATTTTAATTTTATAAAGACGACGGAATTTGTATCTTGGTTTACAGTAATTATTAATTATTATTCTTTAATTATTAACTTATTTTAATTATAAACTTTCTTGAAAACCAGTACAAAACGCCGGTGTTCCGTGTGTTGCTATGTTAGAAACGTTGTCCGAAACACAGATACGCAGCGTTATTGAGACGAATCTCATTGGTCCTATATTGCTCTCTCAGCGAATTGTACCAATCTTGAAGAAACAAAAGTCAGGTCATGTGATCGTAATATCAAGCCAAGCGGGATATATTGGTGAGTAGAAATACAAATGGCTTAAGACCTACCCAGACTATCAAATTTTATTTGACAATGTATGCCCATATATAGTCATGATGTTCTTATATATGGACATGATGTCATATCTAGGCATGTCACAAGTTTTTGTCAAATACTATACAATTAATAGTCTGCAGAGCGCTTAAGCTTACAAGACTGACAACCACCAAATCAAAGCGAATCGTTAGCAAACGACAAATGAGAGTTTCTATGGTTTTTTGTTTTTTTTATCAAGGACTTTTACACAGTTTAGGTCAATGATTTTAGTTTTGTGTAGTTACAGTTCACAAGCATTATTTTTAATGTAGGCTTAAACTGTCTATGTCAGGCCTGTGATCTCAACAGAGGGATTCTTTAATCCAGCAACTTCCTCCCTTGAGAGAACGCCCATTTGGTAAACCAAACCACCCACTATTGCATCAATACCAATCAAAATAATGAAATTCACTATGGTAATAACAATTATGCTTTATCAACCTGGGACTTTGCCCTTTGACCTTCGCGAAAGCTCTTCCGTTGCACCAAACTACCACTTCATACACACAAACGTGCTTTTTAGAAAGAAAAAAAATTAAAATAAAAGTAATGTATCTTATCTTCCTGGGTATTTAGATACCAACCCGTTGCGTAGACAATAGACCTATGAAATACATTGAATCTCTTGATAGGGACCACCGATTTATGGACCGTGCTGGTTCCACTCCGCCTGACATGTCAGTCATTTGTTATGTATTTTATGGCAGTAAAATTGACGAAACAAATTAATAAAATAGGTATTGACATTACTTCAACTTTTGCGTTGTAGGCGTTCCTTATAACGAGATATATTCGGCAAGTAAGTTCGGAATCGAAGGTTTTTCAGAGGGTCTGGCAGCTCAACTTGCTATTGATAATGTTCAGTAGGTTTCAGATTAAGCTACGTTCACACCGAAGCCAGGATTCGGTTCGGTGCCTGGATACAACATGGGTTCAGTGGTAAAGAATAAGACCGTTCATATCAAATTCGTACGTTTTTTTTGTTTTTTTTTTTTGTTTTTTTTGTTAAACCACTCAGCAACGAGGATGAATGACCTCTCTTGACGTTTTCTGTGCGCATTGTGAACACAACGCAACGTTCAAAAGATGTAACAACTCACGATTGTTTTTGTCTGGGCCCCTGATCCGGACTTGATGTGAACGTAGCTTTATACTTATTTAATATGCAACCACTTTTTTTCATCCTCATAACTCTAGCAAACTCATACCGAGAGTTTATATAAAAGCTATACCCGTGATAGTTTCTTCTGAACTCTCGAGCATAGAAATGACTTTTAGTAATGATGCTTTTCAGTCGTACACTCGTGTTATAGTTTTTACTTTTGTATTTCAACGATAGTTTTGCTATACACTTGTGCAATAGCTACACTCGAGTGATAACGTACTCAATTATTGTATCCACTCTTTCCATACTCATAAACTCAAGAAAAACTCATACAAACAAGAGTTTATATAAAAAGCTATAGTACACAGTGTGATACTTTTTATTGAACTTTCAAGCATGGAGATGACTTTCGGTACACTCATAGTTTATGCTATTGTACCTTGTGCGATATCTTTTACACCACTGATCTTTATTATAGTGGCTGGATTAATCATCGGCCAATCATTGTACAGAACAAAAAATGAAGCCACTGACGTCATAATTATTTATGCAAGAGCTCAAGTGAAGTTCTAGTTTAAAAAGTATATATACTGTCTCTTATTATCAATAAATTTAAATTTTACGAAATTAATTTTCGCAAATCATCTACTGTAACTATTCATCCCTGCGATGTCGCGTTGTTGGTGATCGTCACGCAGGATGAAAGTTGCGTTAGTGGCGTCACAAAAACAGCCAATGAGCAATCCAGATATTATAATAGAGATCAATGTTTTACACTTGAGTGATATTTAGTAGTGCCTACTTATTGAACACTCAAGTACGTTTGCGAGATTATAGGCCAGTTAAAAAGGCCATTTACATTTCAAGTCATAGGCATAATCATTATGCATACTTTCTACGTTAATATATTCGTAGTGATATTGCTGTCAATTAAAATTAATGAAAGTGGCTATGGTTCCACACTAACTTATCTTCTTTGCATTTTTCTATCTTGAAGTTTCAGCTTAATAGAGCCAGGCCCTGTACTAACGGATATCGCCAAGAAGGTTGGCTCTGAATGTCGTTCGGCAATCGCTTCAGCAGAAGTCGATGAAGTCACTAGAGAACGTTTCACGGAATATTTGACGTCGATTACGGCTAAATTTCACGAAGTAGTGCAGCAAACTGAGGACGTGGCCGACGTAATCATAAAGGCCCTCAACGACGAGAATCCACACCTGAGGTACCAGACGAGCCAATACCAGGAGTCGGTTGCTATGAAAAAACTTGTTGATATAACTGGGGACTCCAATTTAAATCACATGTTAAAGCACTTGAAAGACAATTGAATTACTGTATTCCTGTTACGAGAGTAGATATTTTTGCCTTAGCTGAAGTCCTCAACATTTAACATTCTTATCTGTCAAATTCATTCCGTAGATTTAGTAGTGTTTCAATTAATTTTCTTTATCGTAGTATTAAAGTAAAGTAGTACTTTTTAAATATTATGAGCTTGCCTCTCCTGGAGATCCTCGGCAACCGCAGCACAGCGCCACTACGGTGGAGAATTGGGCAATACCCTCCTGAGACTTGGCTTTCGGGGAAGCGGTTGGAACAAAAGTTGTGGCTCGTACTCCAAACCTTAAGGTCGTGATTCGAGACCTTCGCTGTGCAAGTCGCTGTGTCTTTGGGCAAGGCACTTTATCCACGCGTCTCTCTCCACACAGGAGTATAAGTGCCTAGTAAGGTTCGAGTGCAAAATTCGTTGATTTATTACTTTATTCGCTGATTTACTACTTGCAGGAAGTTATGAAATGCTCCCGCAAAAGGCATTGTTCCAGTGACTGGTAATTAGGCATATGTGGAAAGGCTCTCTGAGACTTGGTTGTGTAGAGCGTTATATAAATACCGACATATTATTATTAACAAATGTCTCCCAAAAACTCTGCTGGCAATTTATTAGTCTCCCGGAAGTGGTTCCTTCCATCTTGGGACCGCAGTTCAACGCACATACAGTAGCTACCTCAGTTAAGCTGACTAAGCTAAGCTGCTCATACGTTTACATGTACCTTGAATAATATGAATTATCATTATAGATTTCCTTTTATTATTTACTTGGTCTTTTATTGCTTTGAAAACAGATTTAAAATAGTGGGAAGAGCAGGCCACCCAAGGTGTACATTGTCAGTCGCCACAGCTACAAATAACCGATAGTATGTAAACTGTGAAAAAGTATGTTATGTATACATAAATGAGATAAATTTTATAATAAGATTGTACAATTATTATTACACAGTATTACTATTATAAGTATTATTATTATAAATTAAAACATTACTACTACTAATAATAATAGTATTATTTTATTATTATTACTATTATTATTATTATTATTATTATCATCATTATTATTTATTGTTGTTGTTATTATTTTAGATTAGAAATAGAAGTGTGTGATGGTTATAACTTAGAATAAGTCTAAGTAGTGCAGTTGTGTTTAGTCTGTGTATGAAAAAAAAAATGTTGCACAGGATTTGAACAAAGACAATATGGAGGGAAGCATCAAAGGTCAAAGCTATTAGACATACAATTAAACAGAATGATACTATGTTCTGTTAATCTTTACGGTATATACAGCTTTCGATTGCACGACGACGGTAGGACGAACGTAATAACGTTACTAAAAGGCATCTGCGTTAATGTTAAGTTCTCCTCGTTGCGTGGATTATAGGACACAATTTGGCCAACTCTACATAACAGAGAACGTAGGACGCCCAGTATCACGCATGGCTAATTCCGTTCTAGCGTTCTAGCTCAATAATTTTAGCCGAATACTGCAACTAATTTTCAATATCTGTTAATTTTTAAAGCTTTACACATAAACGGTTACATGACGCCCTATAATTTGTTTATATGCATTGACAGAGATTATAGGCATGAAACACAAGATAGCATTATTAACAATTATAATATATTGTTCTCATAAAACATTTATTATTCCTTTCATTTTTGTACAGAAGTTTAGTTAAAAATATATATTGAAATGGTTAAGATATAATCATTATCTGTTAAATTATTAAATATAAAGTATATGAAAGAGGAATAATTTTCAACATTATAGATTATTGCAATTTCAAATAATAATGAAAATAGTAAAATAAAATAAGTAAGCCATAAAAAACACAGACGCAGTAATGCATCTAATAAAAATATAAAACTTTTAATCAACATGTTTAGACGTGTTACGTCATCATTAGGTAATAATGCTTATGCTACTACCGGTTTATATGCTAACGGTCGGATGTAAAAAAGCAAATATTGAGGTAAGCCATGTATATAGAGTGTGATATTGTAATGAGTTGTTTTTTGAGTGACGGATTTCCCTAAGAAGCAACGTAATGGCTTCTTTTATTTTTAAGTTGATAAGTACTGTATTGTAAAATACACAACGATAAAGGGAAAAGGTATAGCGTCCAAAGCAAGCATTGAGCAAAAATATTAACTGTATGAATACAAGTGAATGATTTACAATAATTGAGAAATTGACCGTTTGGAAAATTGTAGCAAAAATTGAGTAGTCTATTTTTTTTTTATACTTGTATAAATAACTAAGATGCGTGTTAATGCTTAATTGTCGAATAAAATAAGTTATAAAGATAAATTAAACGGCGCATGCCAAGTATAAGTATTTTATTTGTGTATTATCTAACCTCTGACCCTTTTTATTGATCCCTGGAGGTGAAGGAATATAATAATATGAATAAATATAATGGTAAGCCTTACCACGCTCGTAGGCCTACTGTATTTCCTTGACCTCTGCCATTATCACATTACTACCACGCAGTTAGTGAATCAGACGCCATAATAGAACATACCATTGATTTGAACTTTTCACATACACACCCACGTACTTATATTCCTAGATGGAGGAGAGAGAAAAGAGAGAAACTTAAGCCGGGAAATCACTGCGTCGTACGACCGTCGCACGACGAATCCAACTCCGCCCTCTGTGAGCGATAGACGACGCGACGCCGTCTGCTAATAGACTTTTCCGGAGTGTCAATCAAACTTATCAACTAACTAATCAGAACTGTATTGTAAAATACACAACGATAAAGGGAAAAGGTATAGCGTCCAAAGCAAACATTGAGCAAAAATATTAACTGTATGAATACAAGTGAATGATTTACAATAATTGAGAAATCGACCGTTTGGAAAATTGTAGCAAAAATTGAGTAGTGTATTTTTTGTTATACTTGTATAAATAACTAAAATGCGTGTTAATGCTTAATTGTCGAATAAAATAAGTTATAATGATAAATTAAACGGCGCATGCCAAGTATAAGTATTTTATTTGTGTATTATCTAACCTCTGACCCTTTTTATTGATCCCTGGATGTGAAGGAATATAATAATATGAATAAATATAATGGTAAGCCTTACCACGCTCGTATGCCTACTGTATTGCCTTGACCTCTGCCATTATCACATTACTACCACGCAGCGCTAGGGATACGCATGCGTCTCACAAACACACGTGTTGTCCCACAAACGCACGTGTTCGCGTATGTTTTAACACTGTCGTCGACTTGTAGGACCATAGCAACAATATCCAAGGGGCGGGGCTGAGCGGAAAGGTCCATTGTCGGTGGCAGTCTGAACTGATTGTCATTAAAAACGAGCCGTTGAGCGCGCACGTCGTTGATTCTTTATAGAATCGTGTTGGCCGACGACCATCGTGCGAAGTGCGTGCCCGGCTTTAGGCGTAGGCCTAGTACTTTGCCCAACAAGAACCATCGAAGTGCACAGCGAGAGATTGAACTCTGACTGTAGAATCGCAATCGCTGTGTGAAAACCGCTTCCTATGGGAACATTAGAAAACCATAACCACGATGAGGACATGCAATAATTCGGCCGAGATAAATAGAATAATAACTTGTCAACTGTAGTAACCAAAGCATGGGTTACATTGTTTACTGCAATGCATTGTGGATTGAAAGTCTATAAAGCTTTGTCTACGCTCTCAAATTTCATAAAAAAAGCATCACATAAAATTTGATGGAGCATAGATTTGCGAACACATTTAACTTTTTTTAAAATACAATTTGATGATAAGTGATATGACGTCATTTGCCTCATATGGGCACATCACATTTTTTTGTCACATGAAATTTGATAGTGTAGACAGAGTTTAATACAATAATTATGGGATATAACTTTTGCAACAATGACAGACATTACACAATACCTAATGATACATCTAAAAACAAAACAGAATCGAAAAGTCTAATTGAAAACAAAAGAGAACAGAAACACTGATGAATGGAAGACCTATAAATAACGTAGAGATGATCGAAACACAAGTTAACGGATCTAGTTTGTCGAATGCTAGATTACCGAGTCATGTTTACTCGCTAATTCATATTCATCGCAGGATAGATAGGCCTATCATTCTAATCTGATTGTAATCGCCTTACGAGTTGGTATAACGCTATTTTCTTGTCAAATTGTATGTGACAAAAATGTGATGTGCCCATATTTGGGTGTAATATGACGTGATGATGCCTATATATGGCACATCACATTATTTTTTGTCACATCAAATTTGATAGTGCGGACTCTTCTATCTCTCCTAATCCATTATTTAACCTAATTTCCAAAGGATCGATGTGCCAGCAGTCATAAAATACATTTTACAAATACCACAACTTGCATTAATATTCATAATATGATATTTGAGAACATACTGTCCACTAATTGGTTGTTCTACTAGGCGTACAAACGCGCATAACTATCAACAACGTTTCATCAGCCAGTATCTACAATATCATGCCCCTCTAAGTTATACACTTCAACAGCACAAAACCCAAATAATAGGCTGCGAGCTAAAATAGTACTGGCACGTGTTGTAGGTTAAAATATTTTACTATTTAAAATAACATAATCCTTTTAATTAAAATAATAATTACTTCCTTGTGTTAAGTGAAAGGAAATAACACTTTGTTTTAGTTTTATCTGCGTTAGTTTAGGACTACAATTGCTGGCCTCTTACTTTCGTGTTTCCTTTTCATGCGTAATGTCCGGGACTAATACTTAACTTAGTACTGTAGTAGTAGGCTAGTGGCCGATTGATGAAACGGAAAGTGGGCTATCAATCGGAAAAGGCGCACTGTACTTAGCTCGGCACCAAAACAAATTTATTTTTAAAAATAACTGTAGAAACATAATAGGATATCGCAAAACAGTATTATCCCAGGAAACACAATACACTGTATTCTAACTTTCGTTTAACTTTGTGAAAGTTGAGGCAAGAGGTCATGTCAGAAAATAACAGAGTCGCAGCAACGTATGCAAGGTTATTGAGATACAATGACGTATCTATGGGAGGGGTTGTTGCGTGGAGGGGGACGGGGGTGCACTCCCTCCCAAAAATTACTCGCGCAACCCCAATCCCCCTTTGCTAAAAACCATGGAAACCCCAGTCCCAAAAAGTGGTCTTTAATTGGAGGGAGACTTGTATTTAATTGTATTATTACCGTATGTTATAAATATGTTTTATTGGTTCCACAAAAAAGAAGAAAAAAAAACCCCACTTTCTCAATACCCTACACAATTGCAACGCAATTAAAGGCTTCCCTCTATTTAAAAACCTCTCCAATGTAAGACCACCTCTAATTAAAGACGACGTTTCTGAGGCCCCAAATGAGCGCCTATGTTATATCTTTTAATAATTTTTTTGTCTAATTAAAGACCGAATCTACTAACGACAATTAAAACCCGGTCCCTAAGTGGTCTTTTTTGAATGGAGGCATGTATAACCTAAACTTGTTAGCTGGGATACTCTCTCGATGAGTTACAGCCTTGAAAACTTTTAATCTAATTTTCTAAAGCACAAATTAATGTTTGTTAATGGATTTTTACTCATCCACATACTCATCTGTTGATCGGAACTTTCTTTGCTGACCAAATCAATGAAGATGAAAATGAATGAAATTATAATGTAAAACACAGAAATTAATCAAAATATATGATACACATAATGAAATGCATATAAACATCTGTATCATCAACTTCAACTTTTATATTTTCGTAAATCACAAATCAATAAATGCAGTGGCGATATGAAGACAAATAATTAATTTTATGATGTGTATCAGACACTAGAGGGGGCATTTCCCTTTTTTTTTATATATTGAATAATGACGCGGCCATAAACATACAATAAGAATTATAATTTCTCAATTGTGAGCTGTCGTGACAAAATGAGTCTTGTGGTACGCCAGGTCAATTTGATATATTCAAGAAAATTTTGAAGTGATATTTTGTCAAAACATGGGTTTCAATTTTTCAGATAAGTGTAATATGCATATTTCACAGTAGCAAAAGTTCTGAGTTGAGTTTCCTAATTTAATCACATTTTTCAGGCACATTTTGTAAAGCTATTTTTCATAATTGATAGGAAAACCAACACAAAATTTATCAGTTGCTTATCTTTAGAGGCGATTTTCTCTTAAATATATTTTTAGACATCTGAACTTCAAAATGATCTTATACTGATTTTAGTCAACTATAGGGACATGATTTAAAGACCAAAATAAAGCTTATATAGTCATCTATCTAAATATATCAATAACTCATTTTTCATTTTTCGTACCACAAAACTCATGTTGTCACGATAGCTAACAATTTCTTTTGAATGGCATAATTGGAAATTAGAACAGTAGTAGTTGATTAATAGATGAAAAAAATAGCTATATAATGTACTGCCTTGCATGATATAAATATAAGCGTAATTTATCATATATATATTTTATATTAATTTTAAATTGTTTTGCATTATATGGCCGTTTGCAGTTTTATGGGTGCTTCCCATTTGCCTTTCACTTATATATTATAAATTATATATAAAATATATACATTATATATTTTATATAATTCGAAAAAAATCCCTCTTGTGATTCAGTCTAAGGAATAGAAAGTTTAACGGCAATTATATGACTGTTCTGTGTGGTGAAGAACTTACACTCAGTTCCTCGGCGTGGTTATTAGTAGCGATGAAGGCAGACAATGTAGACATTAGAAGGCATTATCGTTCATTGTGTTATTATTAGGGGCAACTCCTTATCTAGGAATTTAAAAAATGTTCTGTGGATATGAACATTCTGATATTTAAATAATGCTGTCTTAGTGTATGTATTGTGGTGCGATGTTGTGAGTACAATGTTAAAACTAAAGTTTTTTCACAGGGACGGATCCAGAATTTTTCAAATTTGGGGTGGGGGGGGGAGAGAGTGCACAACGATTTCAGAATAGAAAGTAGCACCTATTTCAATATAACATTGATATGTATTTACATTTTAAAATTTAGTGGCAAAACAGGGGGAACGTGCTCCCGTGGCCCCCTACTGGATCCGCACCTGTTTCAAGTATTCTATAACAATGCGTTAAAACGTAGAAGACATGACATTAAAACGTCGAAGAAGATGCGCTGCCAATGTAACAATGTTTGTTACAAAATAATAATGTACCTACATTCTATCAATGCCTTATGAAGTCGGTGTATAGTTTTAGAACCTAAATCTAAATCAGTTGAAACAGCCTTATCAAAAGTGTGAGCTCTAATATGTTCTTTGATTCTAAATTATTCTTATAAAGAATATATGTTCTTACAACAATCAGTTGTTGTATGTTCTGGCACAGTGGGCATTGCTATAGTGTGCACACGTTATGATCTGTTATTAATTAATTGATTCACTTTTAGGCCTATATTATGTAGGCCTAT